TGCAACAATATGTTTTTTGTTGCCGACATTTTCCTTTATTTCACTAGTCCGAAGCATAATTCTATTTTTTCCGCATTTTCCAAGACAATTATTTCTCTCGATAAAATACCCATTGCTTCTTCCTGACAAAAATAAGACAGTCGGGATACCTTCGAAAGTCACAAAGGACAAAATGAGTGAGTTGACGAGTTGGTTCAACGCCGCTTTGAACAAAATAAACTGAGGGGTTCAAGAAAATATACCGAGTTTGTATTTTATGTAATTGAAAAATGAAAGAATTGTTAAATTGAATTGGGTTCATTTAACCATCACTCATGCCTGCAACCGTAATCTTTTGCTGGGAATTTTTGTGAAAACATTAACTGGATTAATGGAGACTGGGGTAGGAAATGAATTTAAATGACCCCTACTATGTTCGAACTGTTATAAATTTGTGCTAAAAATCAACAACAATTTATTGATTTTCAAAGATATATGTCTAAGATACCAATCAGTAGTTGTGTTTTATGCGAAAATATTTTTAAAAGTTAAAAATCGAATTATATTTTAAAACTAAAACCATGTAGAAGTATTATTTGAGTGCTGACTAAGTGCCAGTGCAGTTCTTTTTTAGAATATAATATAGCTAACTCAAGATATGTTCAATTGAAACTCAAACATATGATATAATCAGCTGAGAGGTATGGTTGCTTTTGCTCCTGATTATGCAGTCCTTGGTGTCTACATTTCAGGTACTTTTGAGGTACAAAGAGCATGCTCTTTCTACAAAGATTTCAAAGCGTCATAGAGCTCTTGCTCACATTGCTAAACAAATTTACAACATTCAAGGCCTCAGTAGAGCTTTCCAAACGTTTTGAGGCTGGCATGTGGAGGACATTTCACAATTTGACGCATCAGTGACAAAAATTTATGTGCGATGCAATTCCTTAATTTGACTTGTACCATTTGTTTCCTTGCTCTTTTCAGGTGAACAATTGACTTGCCTTTGAATGTGTTTGTGACGAGAGCCACCGGTGGGGCAGGATACCCTCATCTTTTCGCGAACACCTTGTATCGTCACTATTTGCTAGTGATTCATAAACACATGATGATGATATAGTCGGAATAGTACAATCGACTTTGTTTTTGGCAGACATTTCTTATGAATATGAAAGGATTTGCCGCTTTTATTTATATGGTGGTGACAAACTAACGGATCCGAACCCACGATCATATGTATCTAGCCTAATGGACGCAACTCTGCCATCCGTGTCCACGACGAATAATAGAACACCGACAGCCATTTTATGCTGCAGTTTTGAACACACCAGAAAGTCTGAAGGAATGAGAATCGTTTGTCATACTCCCATTATATCTTTCACAAGACCAGTCCAGACTTTTCCGTAATCTATTGTATGTGTGTATCCCCTAGGTATCTCTTTCTCAGCCGAGTATGATAGTCCGACACTTGGCGTGTCCTCATCTACAAAGAAGGAAATTCCAGGCTTCATTACACATTTGCTATCTGAACCACTTCCCGTTATTCCCCTGGCAGCGTCTTTGATACCACATGAATATGCTCCATGTAGAAGGAATCACCCGTCCGCCAACACGTCTCCTGACCAGGAGCTGTACACAGAATGTCAATATACCTACGATATACACATTCATATACTACATTAAAGTTGAATATCTGATAACTGTACTCTGTATTTTGTCACAAACGTGCCGAGAGGGGAACATTTTTACCATAAATTGGAAGGACGGGAAATAGCGTTTGGGAATGGTAATGAAAGCTTAGGAACTCATGGGATTGAGGATTGGCGTTTATTCACCAGCTCGTGCGTGTTTTGGACTTCTAAACACGCTGAATTCAGAAAGAACTTAAGCTTGAGTGTGTCAACAAGGCTGTTATAATAATAGAGTCAAAAATATCTACAAATAGTTTAGTACTTGCAGAGACAAGGCTTAACACCCACAATCCACCCATGACAACATGCACAACATGACTCGCGATAATCTAGCTCTGTTTGAAGCTGATCTACATATATTCTTGCAACGATTTGTGATTCTGGATGCAATCTGGTTTCAGCACCAAACAACGAGCCCCTTGCTAAAGGTTGTCCATTTTCCAAAGGTCACAGGCCCCTGCCTATTATACCGACTTATCATGGCGTAACAATTTGCTCGGATGACTCCAGTTGTTTGTGGATATATCTCTGTGATATGTAATGTCAACAAGAAAGGATTTTACTATTACCCAATCCATTTTTTGTTTTATTTGTTTGTTTGTTTGTTGTTTAACGACGCACTCAGCAATATTCCAGATATATGACAGCGGTCTGTAAGTAGTCTGGACCAGATAATCCAGTGATTGACATCATGAGCATCGATCCGAGCAATTGGGATCGATGACATGCATCAACCAAGTCAGCGAGCCTGACCACCCGATCCCGTTAGTCGCCTTTTACGGCAAGCAGGGGTTGCTGAAGACCTATTCTACCCCGGATCTTCACGGGCCCCATTTTGTGTGAGGCTAAGGACTTATCAATGGACCCTGGCGGATGTTGTATGTGGAGTAGCTCCAAGCATAGAAGATCGTGCTGTAGGCGTGTTATGTCGGCACAAATCGACGTTCTTATGCGGATATGGTTATATTAAGTCAATGTTCCATATATATGTTTTATTCCGTCTTTTAAACATCCTCACCCTTCACAGTGACAACAGGTTTTTAATTTCTAAAAGGTTTTTCTCACAATAATACATTGACAATTATATTTTGAGTTTTTATATATTTAACTAATGGCGATGACTGTATATGGACTAGAAGGGGGTGGATGGGTGTGAGGGTCGCGGGGGAACGTTACAGTGAGGGATATCGTGAAGAGAAGATGACAAGAGTAGTCTCCCCTTCAACAAACGTTCACACCCGCAGGCAGCTGCACATAGACCTGTATCTCCGCGGTTGGTTGGTTGGTTTGTTGTGTAAAGCCGCACTCAGCAATATTCCAGCTATATGACGGCGGTCTGTAAATAATCGAGTCTGGACCAGACAATCCACTGATTAATATCATGAGCATCGATCAACAATTGGGATCGATGACATGCGTCAGCGAGCCTGACCACCCGATCCCGTTACTCGTCTCCTACGACAAGCACAGTCGCCTGTTACGGCAAGCATGGGTTGCTGAAGATCTTTTCTACCCCGGATTTTCACGGGTCTATCTCCGTGGAGACCTGCTGACATGAACAATGTGGATTCACTCACTCAAGGCATTCTATATATAACATATTCATAATTATACAATTACCCAAAGAATGACCTAAATTCGTGGATTTAACGTCATTATTCACTTAAGACGTTTGGAATTAACTTATTTCAGGTTAAAATACCAACATTAATAACCTTCATGCCTTTATTATTCAACTAACAATCCAATTCAGTCGTCGATCGCGGAATCGCTAGCGCTTTCGGTGAGACACAACCATTCACAGTACGTCATTGTGTACATAACTTGATACGTCACCTAACTGTGTGGACAACTTTATCACATTTTTGGAATGTATGGAAGCCCCACTATGACAAGTGATACTTACGTAGAGCAGTAATTAAAGTTGGTTAACTTTGTTAAAACGGTGAAACTTGAAGAGAATAAAGTTGGAACTCCTCCATACAGTACTTACAGTCCAAATATGAACGGGTTCTTTTCCAGCCTACTCTTCTGGTGGCCTGAATGGTGAGGTGAAACGGGGTTTAACGTCGCGTCCAAGATTATTGCACTTACATAGCGACGTGCATGCATGGTGTGTGTGTGTCTGCTTGTACTAGTCCGGACTGATGCCGATTTATAGTGCTTGCCTACTGAGACATGAATACCCCACTCAGACACAGTATACTGACTCCGAGCCGACCAGTCCTTGTTTTAGCCCCTTAATGCCGAGCGCCAGACAGGGTAACAATAAGTACAATCTTTTAGCGTCTTTTGGTATGACGCGGCCGGAGATCGAGCCCCGGATCTTCCGTTCTCTGGGCGGACGCTCTACCTCTCGACCACGGAGGCGGTTCTCCTGCATGGTAGTCCACGACCGGGGCAACAAACCGTTTCATGCCGTCTCAGTACAGTCTCAGTCTCGGCGTTAAACCAAACTCATTCACTCACTCAGTACGCGCACGGGACAAGCATATTTAAAATGGACCCAGTGACTGAAACTGCCGAGCATCCATTGTCTCCGGAATGTCAATACTAGCGGTGTACACTGTGAAAGCACCTCTGGTTGAAACCTGCCGCAGAAGCAGAATTTCTCGTCGTCATGGGTGGGCGTGTCTTCAGTGTCAATGTCACTCACGTGCGCGTTCAAACCGAACGATCTAGGTAAAGGTTCCATATTTTGCTACGAATTGTAGCCGTCGGATGCTTGGCTTTCCTTTCCTCGGTAGCTCGAACAATTTTCCTGACATACTTGACTGACATACTCGTGTACATTTATTGCTATGAACCTGTGAATATACGGGTTGGAATAGGTCTTCAGCAACCCATGCTTGCCGTAAAATAAGTGGCCATGCTTGGCGCAAGATGTGACTAACGGGATCGGGTGGTCAGGCTCCCTGACTTGGTTGATACATGTCATCGTATCACAATTGCGTAGATCGATGCTCATGATGACAATCACTGGATTGTCTAGCCCAAACTCGATTATTATCAGTCATATAGCTGTAATATTGCTGGATGCGGCGTTACACGTCGTGGTTTTCTAGGGCTCCTTGTAATGGTAGCAACTTGTCAGCACAGACATTATTCTCGTTCAGTTTGTCTGGCATTTCGAGATCTGAAGTCGGAACGTCTTCTGGTTGGATGGTGTAGAAGAGTGTCCAAAAGCTTATCTGTAAATGGGGTTCAAATGGGAACACGCCCGTTCTCCTGAAAGCCGTTTGCATATTCCATTGTGACTGCAACGTACGCGCGGGTCACAGAAGAAGTGTTGTATTTGCTGGTGGTGCCCGAGTGAGATATCTGATATTAATGACGCTCCGAATTGTAGAACATCTCAAACGGACCAACACACCCAAGAAATCCAAAGTTGTGGATGAAGAATCTCATCCGTGTAACGTTGTGCCGTTGAATTCCCCAGAAGTATGTTCAACCAGTGTAGGAGATGGCTGCCCACATCATCACACTACCACCATCAAATCTGTCGCCTTCATGTATGCAGTTTCGTGCATAACGTTTCTCGCGACGCCTGAAACATGATGTATACCATCCGCACGGCGACGCATAAAGCTTGACTCGTCACTCAACCAAACCTGTCTCCATTGCAGTTATGGCCATACTCTGTGACGCTCCGAATTGTAGATCTTCGCAAACGGACCAAAACATCCAAATTCCACCAGCTGCAGTACGTGATATGAGTGGGTGGTAGGCAGGACAAGAAGGATAATAACATTTGCCTTCGTCCAGTCAATAACACACGGCGACAGTTTTGCTCTGTGCCTATCATACATCAGCAACAAAGGGTGAGCTTGACCACCTGGACCCCGACCCGGTACCATCAGCCTCGTAGCCGGGTAGAATAGGTCTTCAGCAACCCATGCTTGCCGTAAAAGGAGGCGAAGCTTGGCGTAGGAGGCAGCTAACGGGATCGGGTGGTCAGGCTCGCTGACTTGGTTGATGCATGTCATCGTATCCCAATTGTGTAGATCGGAGCTCATGAGCTCACTGGATTGTCTTGACCAGACTCCATTATTTACAGATAGCCGCCAATGAGCTGGACCATTTCTAAGTGCGGCGTTAAACAACAAACAAACCATCAGCTCCGGCGGTACAGTCATCAAAAAGCTCAGTTTGCATCCTTCCTCCAGGAAACTCAACACTCCGGGGGAATCTCACTTCCAAGGCCTTCCCGTATCACAATACAGTCACGATAGACCATCTTTCCGCAGATATCACACAGGGGCAAGCGTCTTCAGCACCAACGGGGGAACGAACGGGGGATGGGATTGACTGATACCTTTTTCATCGACATCATAGATGCGTTCTGGTTTTGATTTCAAGTCTCACTCGGTCAGGATTCTATCCAGTTCCCCGAAGTAACTGTTGACGCAGATATGGCCTTGGCCCGAAGCTCTGTAAGAGATTTTGCTTTCCGTACTTTCAAGTCGCGCCAACGGCCAAGGATGTCATACAACCAATGGACAGGTAGTGGTTGGTCTTTGTCCCTCTTCTCAAGGTGTATAGCTCACTCAGAGACTTAATGACCTCTGCCCTGGCGTACCGTGTCCAACAGCTGTTTTTTTATTATGGTGACAATTCGTTTTTCCTCTTCCTCGTCGCAATAGGGGATGCGACTGGCTTAACAGATTTGTGCCAATTCTCCCATCCTTTGGCCTCTGAGAATCTGTTCTGACACAGAATGCTCCCAAGCTCACTCACATACTGAATAACACCAATACTTCCGTCAAGACCGGGCTGATGATGCCTAAAATATAGCGAAAATTATACAAGAGATGGTCCGAAAAGGTTTCCATACATTTCAATTTTCCACAGGGTGTCACCTGTTTTATCATGTGATCTATGTTTACGGAAGTCAAAGCAAACAGGCGGCAGAGTGTACGTGGCCAGAGGCCTTCTTTTACGACACAATTAGGTATTTAGTCAGTTTGTTTATTTTTATTAATTACTGTTCCACGTGTGCCATGTGGAACTTGGGTCAATGACAATGATGTGTGCTTATTTTGAGCAATCGATTACATCTGTTGATTATTTATATGAAACTTCTAAATGTCTTTTGCGTTTCTATTTTTTGCAGTGTATGGTGCTTGGTGCTACGTGGAAAAACCTGGCTACAGCTAAAGATGATTCTCCTGTCTGCAGTCGGCCGATGACGTTGTTGCGTTGGACTTCCGTCAGCAGTGGCATGTTTTCACTGTTCACCTGCTGTAAGATTGTGATAGCATGCAAATGAAAACCCAACGTTTTCATAGGCCAACAAGTGATGTTGCACGTGCATGTCATGTTGGTGTGTTTCGGCGCCACGTCGTCGTGTTTTTGTGATTTTTCCATCTTTTCACCAACTTTCTGCTCTACCACATTTTTATTCACACAAAACAATCCCAATCCATGTAGAAATGGCCAATTCATTTGTGGTATTAATTTTGTATTGATGTCGCGAAACCCTAGCAGATATTTACGTTTTTACTACTTTTACGTTTCTTTTTGTGTTTCTTTTTTTTTGTGCAGTATATATACCGATGAAAAAGGAAAACTCGTTGTGATGAATTGACAATGTCCTTCTGTGTTTGCCTGTATGTATGTTTTGTATTTGTGTGTGGTATAATGCTCGCACTTATGGCTTTGTATATGGGTCTGAGGCTTTCATGCAAATAATTGTCAGCTCCTTCAATGTGCAGAATGGCGAGGATCGCAATGCCACCCGCCAATTCAGAAAGCAGTGAGCAGTAATTTCTAGACATTTTACAGACACTTCAATCACTACGATATCTCGTCCGAGGCTTAGATTTACTCATTTTTACAACAATCTATAATATTGTTTGACAGGCATTACTTAGGAGTTGACGGATGACAAAGTGGACACAATTTATGGATAATAACTTCTTTTATTACTGTAAAGGCGACAACAGTACAAGGATCTATACCCAAACTTCGCCTTTTCAGTAATTAAAGAAGTTGTTTTCCATAAATTGTGTCCACTTTGTAATATACTGAACAACAAAAGTTCCTGTGACATTGAATAAGATTTCATGCAAAGTTATGTTTTTTACCAAATCTGAAACAATTTCGGTTGGCAACAGTTAAAAGACTCCTGTAAGTGTTCAAATGGTTTAATTTGCCATACTGACTTCAGAAAATGCGTGATTGCTTAAAAACATGAACATGCCAAAATGTCAATTTACAAATCAATAGCTTGTGTGTTCACCTCTGGTTGCGATGAGAGCAATGGACCAAGCGTCGCACACATTCCTGTGGTTATCTGTCCATATCTGCTGGAGCATGTTTCGAAGTTCCTGGAGTGTCTGTGGAACACGTGGTTGACGTCGAAGGCGCCGATCCATCTCATCCCATGGTGAGAGATCAGGGGAGCGAGACGGCCAAAGGATGACATTCACGTTGTTTTGTTGAAGAGTATCCTAAACAAGTCGAGCAATATGAGGCGGGGCGTTGTCATGTTGAAAGGGAATGCCTGGGCCATGACGACGCAAACACGGTAGAACAACAGGGCCGATGATCTCGTCGCGGTAGCGCTGTCCATTGAGATTTCCCTCTACCACTATCAAACGGGTCCCCTGTCTTGCATTAATCCCACCCCATACCGTAAGGCTGCTGCCCCCGAACCGATCTTCTTCCATGACACAATGATTGACGTAACGTTCACCTCGACGTCGGTACACTCGAATCCGTCCATCGCTGTGGCTGAGGTGAAAACGAGACTCGTCAGTGAATAGTACTTGTCCCAACTGCATGGCCGTCCAGCGTAGACCTGTCTGCACCACTGTAGACGTACTTGACGGTGGTTTCCTGTCACGTCTGGCGACGTCTAGCGGGTCTTCTTGCGATAATCCCTGCACATCTGAGGCGACGACGTACGGTTTGTGAAGATATTCGTCGAAGGCCAGGGATGCTTCTTGCAGTCACTGTTGCTGGCCGGAATCGATTTCGTAGGTGTGTTGTTCGAATCCAGTTGTCTTGTCGATTATTGGTTACGCTTGGCCTGCCACTCCGAGGATGGTCTCTATCTACATTCGTCTGTTGCCAACGTTGCCATAAACACTAAATGATGTTTCTGTGGACGTTAAATTGTCTTGCAACATCACGTTGACTCGATCCTGCTTCAAGCATACCAAGACGCTCATTTTCGGACAGGCGTGGCATTTCTTAATGTTGAATAATTGCTTAATTTTGTTGCTTTCTGAGTGGTTGTGGAGTGGAGTGGTTCAGCACGATGCTTAACAATGCATGTGGAATGCCGTTAACGCACATGTTTTTATACCCATTCGTGGGTAGTGAAATGCATGGGGCTTACATAAAAGTCAACTTTTGCATGGAATGCATGCTTTTCTGTAGCAGTTGCGTTTTTGTGACTTGATTCCATATATGTACTACAATATTGAAAACCAAACTTTACTTGTTTGGAAAATACACTAAAATATTCGTGTCACGGGAACTTTTGTTGTTGAGTATATTATAAAGTACTGTGTGACGAAATGAATCTTAATACAGTTTTATTTCAGAGGCTAAATGTTGTCTCTCTGATCGTGTAAACTGATTTAGTTATTAGTTAAGTAATCTGTGTATACGTTTCAAAAACGATAGATGAACTTCATTTCCCTCAAAGATGGTAGATTTGGTGAAATGTGCTGGAGGGGGTGATAGATTGGGGAGGAGATCCCGATGTACACCCTGCTCACCATCACAGTCAAGGGGAAATATGTCCCGTGTAAATAATCGTCTTCACGTGACAGTGAAGAGAACAGATCTAACACACTTGACAGCGAGATCTAACACACTCGAGAAAAAAGATCTTACACACTCGATGGTGGAGAGAAATTATCTAACCCACTTGGCATTGGAGAGAACAGATCTAACTGACTTGACACTTAAGTCAACAGGTCAACACACTCGATAGTAGAGAGGAAAGATCTAACACACTCGACAGTGAAGAAAAAATATCTTACACGCCCGACAGTGAAGACAACAGTTCTAACATACTTGACAGTGAAGAGAAAAGATCTAACTCACCTGCCAGTGGAGATAAAAGATCTAACAGGCTTGACAGCGAAGACAACAGTTCTCATTTACTTGATAGTGGTGAGAAAAGATCTAACCCGCTTGACAATGGAGAGAACAGATCTAACACATTTGACAGTGAAGAGAAAAGATCTAACACTCCTGACAGTGGAGAGAACAGATCTAACACGCTCGACAGTGGAGAGAGCAGATCTACCTCGAATGACAGTGAAGACAACAGTTCTAACATATTTGGCAGTCAGGAGAAAAGATCTGACACGCTCCATTGTGGAGAGAAAAAATCTAACACACTCGACAGTAAAGAGAAAAGATCTAACACATCTGACGGTGGAGAGAGCAGACCTAACATGCTAGAGAAAATGTCTAAACCGCTTTATAGTGGAGACAACAGTTCTAACATACTTGACACTGAAGACAAAAGATCTAACTCACTTGACAGTGGAGATAAATGATCTAACACGCTTGACAGTGAAGACTACAGTTCTGACATACTTGACAGCGGAGAGAAAAGACCTAACTCACCCGACAGTGAAGACAACAGTTCTAACATACTTGACAATCAAGAGATCTGACACACTTGACGGTGGGGAGAACATATCTCACACGCTCGCCAGTGAAGAGAAAAGATCTAACACACTCGATAGTGGAGAGAACAGATCGAACACACTTGACAGGGAAAAGAAAAGATCTAACACACTTGACAGTGGAAAGAACAGATCTCACACGCTCGACAGTGAAGAGAATAGCTCTAACTCACTTAACAGGGAAGAGAAAAGATCGAACACACTGACGGTGGGGGAGAACAGATCTCACACGCTCGACTGTGACGAGAAATGATCAAGCTCACTTGACAGGGAAGAGAAAAGATCGAACACACTTGACAGTGGGAAGAACAGATCTCACACGTTCGACAGTGAAGAAAAAAGATCTAACTCACTTGACAGGGAGGAGAAAAGATCGAACACCCTTGACGATTGGGGAGAACAGATCTAACACGCTCGACTGTAAAGAGAAAAGATCTAACCCACTTGACAGTGGAGAGAAAAGATCTAACACACTCGACAGTGAAGACAATGTTCTAACATACTTGACACTCAAGAGAAAATATCTGACACACTCCATTGTGGAGAGAAAAAATCTGACACACTCGACAGTAAACAGAACAAGTCTAACACACTTGACGGTGGGGGAGAACAGATCTACCGCGCTCGACAGTGGAGAGAAAAGATCAAACACACTTGACAGTGGAGAGAGCAGATGTCGCATGTAAGAAACTGTTGAATCTATTCACAGTACAGATCTCAGAGCTAGTCTACAAATTTACAAATTTCCCAGTTTACAGCTGAATGGAGATAACCCAATGTTCGAAAGCAGTACAATGTTTCCCGTATGGTGTGCCAGTCACAAGTCATTAAGGTATATTTTAAGGCGCTTTAACCACTTTTCAAGTGCTGGAAGATGCATCACTGACGGTGGATATACGTACGACTACACAAATAGCGTAAAATGTTTCAAGCACAATTAATCTTCAGTCCTATTTGTTAATAGACCTACTCATTTTTCAGTTAAGATTAAATAAGAATACTCACAATACAGAAAATATAGAAGGGAGACAACTTTTGGTGCCCTCGGTTAAAAAAAACCACAAGCAAATCATATGTAAAATAATTTCATAATTCACTCTCTGTAAATTCGTGCTTTGATCAGCATATGTATCTCTATATGAACAAAATGGGATGTGGCTCAAGTTGTACATGTTTAACAATGCAAATAATTTGTTCGCAAAGACGTGTTCTAGTATTTGAAGTCAACCAATGTTATCAGATGTAAATCAATATCATACTTACAAAAAGCGACTGCGAAAGAGATATATTTAGCAGAAGAGTACTTCCGAACTTCAAAGAGCCGGGTTTAACACCAATCGGATTGGCTCACGGTCATTGTATTTACAGCGATTCTTATTTCTTCACGTTATCTTGAAATGAAATTATTTTGAAAACGAATGAGAATGATTAATTTCTTGATAGAGATGTAACTAGCTAATGTGTGAGTTTAACAAGATCATCCACGAGCTCGTCAAATTATTGATTTAGTATCTTTAACATTCGGTTCATGATTTCTTCGGCAAAATGTGTTCTCCAACTGTGAATACCACTGACACGTAATTCATCAGGGCCGCTTCTGAATTAGTTCAGCTTTATCACCATTGATCAGTTGTCCTTGAAAGTGGCACGCGCACTGATGTGCCGGCAGTGGCACACTCTCGCACACTCACACAAACACATGCACACGTGAGAACGCACGCACGCAAGCAAGCACGCACGCACGCACGCACGCGAGCACGCACGCACGCACACACACAACCACAAACATACAGATTGATTGGCAGTGGCACATACACGGAAACACACAGGCACACAAAAACGCAGTGACACACACGCCTAGATATACCGGCAGTAGCACGCGCACACACACGCATTCACGCACCTAAATCGCCTTGAATCTACCGAATAATGCTGGCTGCGGCGTTACACAACATTCGATCACTCCCTCCAAGACATCTCACACGTGTTACTAAACTCCTTGTTTCATTTTTACATCCAGATTGCTCACTTCCGGGATGACAATCAACGCTGCCGCAACAACCCCTGGCCCAAGTAGGCTGGTATCTATATTTTGCTTGTGATATTAAAACGTCGACATAATGTAGCAGGGCTATCGTTCGCGCCCATGACCACCATGGTCATGTTCAATAGAAGATTTCCACACTCAAAGCATTCACACATCACCACACTGTTCTAGTCTATCAATACCGTATCAACACTAAGTGTACGCTGCCAGCCACCTCATGATATACATAAATGTTTATATGCTGTGAAATAACATGTAATACCTCTCTGTATAATGTACATCATGTATATCTACCTTTCATGTCTATATTTATATACGTGTCCATATGTAGATAGTTTGTACCCTACCCTTCGAGGGTGTTCTGTACAATACAAATTATTGGTTCCTCTTGATTCATCACCACATCAGACGCCATATATCCTGGTACTAGCGGTGTCAAATACGTGGTTACATATGTCATTATTGTAGGCAGTGCTCGTTATTTCGGGTATCAAACCATCACAACACCATCTACATCTTAAATCAGCATGGCAAAGACCACTAACCGGTATGAGTATTGATCTGGAGTAGAAACATAGCTCTTATTCAATAATGTTTCTAACTACAGAAGAAAGCGAGGCCATAAACAATTTCTTCATTTCCTTCCTCATAAATACTGGACGCTCATAAAACGCAAAAGTAGAATCATCTTTAATAATTCCCCTCATGTGCATGACAAATAAACTAGGATTGAGTTAGTTCTTTCCATTCAGATCACTAACACACGAAGCCGGCCGGATTTAACGCAATTGATCGGCCCTGAGAATTGAGTTATGTCGGAGCGAGTGATGCCAAGTGAGGGGTGCCTGATATGGCGGAGCTACTTTACAAACACTGTAACTCGGTTACCGCGGAGGGATCATCGATGACAATAGGGTCGTGATTTGGTTCGAGATGTAGTCGTAACGAGCTGCTTGATGGGAAAGCAGTGGTCACGTGGTCATTTAGACACCGTGGTCGGGGAATTCGATTCATTCACCTGTGAGATTCACTGCTACATACCTGACAAGTCAACCCTGATCAATACTCCAGACACATGGAGGGGGGAGCGAGGGAAGGGGGAGAGGTTGATGGGGAGAGAAAATAAAAAAGAGAAGATCTGGGGGTGGAGAGAGAGAGAGAGAGAGAGAGAGAGAGAGAGAGAGAGAGACGCATTATTTACACACACGTGCTTGCGAGTGTGTGTGATATAATTTCTATGTTGAAAAACAAAATATACTGAACACATTATGTTATGATATTGTAGGTTATAAATCTAATATTTCCTCTTCGTTATTGTAATGTACACCGAGACTTTATCTCCCCGTGACGCTATTAATTTGTAGCTGAAGATGAACACCAAACAATGTATTTCAAGTATTAAACGTCTCTGAGCTATTTAAACCGGTAGTGAGTTGTGAGAAGAGGAGAAGGGAGTGGGTACCGTTGCATAAAGAGATGGTATAGGGTGAAAGAGAGAGGGGGGGGGGGGGGGGGGGGGGGGCAGAGTGTGCGGAGAAAGAGAGGGGAGAGATGGAAAGAAAGAATAGCAGAGAGAGAAAGAAAAGGAAAAAAAGTGGGAGGGTTTGACAAATAATATAGGTGAGTAAGATAGAGACATAAGAGGACGTGGACGCGGTCATTCAGTTATTACGGTTGTCCTTGCAGACTGTGTTCACAAAATAGCGAATTCTTTAATTTCTCTTATTCGTATGTATTTGTTTGTTGTGTTGTTTAACGCCGAAATCAGCAATATCAAAGTTATATGGCAGAAGTCTTTAAATAATCGAGTCCGGACCAGACAATCCAGTGATTGACACCATGAGCATCGATCTACGCAATTGGTATACGATGAGATGCAACAACCAAGTCAGCGAGCCTGACCACCCGATCCCGTTAGTCGCCTCTCAAAACAAGCATAGTCGCCTTTTTCGGCAAGTATGGATTGCTGAAGATCTATTCTAACCCGGGCCGTGTCTTCATGGGTTTCATTTGTTTGTAAATATTGATCATAACACACGGTTTTAGTATATATAGCGAGAGTTATTAATAGCAAACATCGATCATCATCTGCTCCTAGTTAGAAACCCACTCAAGACACTGCATTCACACAATGCCACAACTCATCGTGCTGGCAACACAAGAGTTCACGTATTATTCTGTTATCACGGTAGAATGGGGAAAAATACACCATGTTGTGTTTTTGGCGAGTGCTATCTTGCGTATTTGATACCTCTAAATGTAGTTTGAAAAAGAATGCTCCAGCTTAAGGTTACAAATGTATATATCGGGTATCAAATCAGCAGTTATGACCACATACTTGTTTACATCCTTAGTTATCCACTCTCTAACTAGCTGTGGCCACGTGTTCGGTTGGTCCTGGTAAAGTCGTCAAGAATTTGTGAAGAATATTGTTAAAAATGCTTGTTTCAGTTCAAGTGTTTTGGTTAAAGTTCAGGGCTCGGTTCAACAAAGCGACCTTAGTCACAGGTCTATGTTAACTAGCGGGGGTTGTGATAGCCTTGAGACTAAACTTGTTTTGTTGAACGGTGGCACGTTAAACAGTACTTGCGAATTCAGATGAAGTTGTCCAACTGACGGGGATAAGGCACACGATACAAGATACAAACATTCCATGTAGAAACAGTGATAATCTGCTATAAACTATATAAACAGGTATATATGATAAGTCAGGATAAGAGTACAAAGTCCCAAAATAAAATCTTATGTTATGTTATGACCTTGGGTTATCTGTAATAAGTCCTTCAGATTTTAATGAAGTTGTGTACGTGATAGCAGATGG